CACCATATACATGGTCAAATAAGTATTAGCAATTTCACCATATACATGGTCAAATAAGTATTAGCAATTCAGTTGACATTTATAATCATGTTCATGCATGTTCAACAGAATCTGTGAGAGGCATGTTTATTATTCCAATTGCAGCTATAAATATTTTATAAGTCCAACTTATAAAATTATCCAAAAAAGGTCTTCATTCTGAAAACAAAATCTATTTTCTTACGAGTTTATTTGGAATATTATGTCTTGCAATTGGTCTTGAAATCACTCTGATGTGCTGTGATGTTCCTGTTAAATAGCTTACTTTACTCTTATTACAATTTTCTTCAACACCCGTACACCAAACATACTGAGATCTGTGTAATGGAAGTAACATCAAAAGCAATTGCAACATGCATTTTTAAAAGAAAAAAAATACATATCAGAAAAAATGTAATATTTGGATTTTTCCTTCTCACCATGCCCCATCTTTGTGACTCTCTCTGAGGAAACTACTGCATTTCCATCAGCCTTAAAAAAAATTGCTTGTTTTGTTCCCTTACCCGAGAAAGAAATATTAAATCCTTCATAAGATATTGAAAAGTCAGAAATAAAGCGCAATTGAGCCCTGAAATTTCCATAGAGACCAGCGTTGATTGGAGATGGAAGTTCTGAACCAGTCAGGCGTGCTAGTGGTTGAGTGAAGCTGCGGTTCTCTGTGATTAGTAGGTAGTCATGATGATCTTCCAAATGGAAGGTGTGAAAGGTGAATTGCACTCCTATTAGAAAAATAAAATTAGACTCACATAGTTAACATGAAACCAATTATATCACTGATTAAACTCATACATTTCATCCCAACCATGGGCTCAGAAAATTAAACAAGGTTTATTTTACCCTTGCCCTCAGAGTCTTCATCTATTTTGTCTTTCATCTTTACTGAAACTATTTTTTTGTTCTATTTGTGAGTATTATTCTGCATTTTGAAGGTATTGAACAATAGAGCTAAAATGACACTATTTTTCATTTACAAACTAAAGGAAAATATTAACATTAAGTGTTTGTCTAAACCAGGGGTATCAAACTAAAGTTGCTTAGATTTGGCCTGTGGGGCTGGCCTGGAAATCGCAAAGAATTGGACCACGTTGCCTCTGCTAGTGAAATTGGGGTGCAGGGGGCTGTGCAAAGCCCCCTGTGCCCCATTTTTGGCCTGGATGGCCTTCTGCAGCACTCTGCTGCCCAAAACGGGGGAACAGGGGGCCACATGAGTGCTGCAGGAGGCATCTGTCTCATCTCGCCCAATTCTGCCTCCCTTGCTCCATCCGGCCAGCGGAGGACAACTACAATACTGATCCAGCCCTCAAAGAAATCCAGTTTGACAACCCTGGTCTAAACTAAAAACTAAACTAAATAGTACATTAAACTAAACTAAACAATATTTTTATTAAAAAATATTGCTATTCTTGACAGTTCAAATGGTAACATTAAGGGTGCATAATATGAAGCATGAATAAATGAAATGTGAATTCATACCTTTTCCATGTGTGACATCCACAGTCCATGTGCAATTCAATGAATTTGGATATAGTTCAGGATAACCAGGAGACAGAATAGTTCCACTGGGTCCTCTAACATCCCCTCCACATAGAGCTGAAGATGTAAGGCAAGAATGTTAGGAGGAGAATATAAGGACATCAACATAGGTAATCATTATAAGTTTACTAAACAACAACTAGAACTTCTAATATCACTACTTAAATGACAGTCTGTAACTGTGACGAACAACTAGAACTTCTAATATCACTACTTAAACGACAGTCTGTAACTGGGAGGACCTTAGGGAATCCATACAACAATCCCTAAGTGCAACCAACATTTACACAAAGTGTTCACAAAGGAACACAATTAATTAATTAATTGTTAAAAAGGTTTTGGTAATAAGTATTCTGAATTGCTAATTGCTAATTATTAATTACTAATTATTAATTGCTAATTACTGTGATTGATTTCAAAATGGAAGAATGAAAAAAATAATTCTTTCTTTGTACAAAAAAATATATAGGCTCAATTCAACAGGAACTTCTTGAACTGAATCTATCTATCTATCTATCTATCTATCTATCTATCTATCTATCTATCTATCTATCTATCTATCAATCATCTATCTATCTATCTATCTATCTATCATTTATCTGAATATTTTATACATTTTTGAAAGGCTGGGGAAATCAAAGCATGTGCTGAAATATTTCATGTCTTCTACATTTTTTTTACTCTACTCCCAATTATGATAATGATTTTGCAATAATAATTGATACCAGTGGTGGGATTCAAATTTTTTTAATACCGGTTCTGTGGGCATGGCTTGGTGGACATGGCAGGGAAAGGATACTGTAAAATTTCCAATCAGAGGTGGCATTTGCCAGTTCTCTGAACTATTCAACATTTCCGCTACCGGTTCTTCAGAACTGGTCAGAACCTGCTGAACACCACCTCTGATTGATACCTAAATTAAAACTGGCATATTTTAACCTTATATTCTATTATAGATAAGTTTCTCCAGCATCTTTCTGGAATATTCTATATATCCACATGTATCTGAAACAGAAAACTTGCTGATGAAACAGATAAGGGAAGAAATCAGTTCTGAAAAGGAGTTTGTTTCTTGACTGAGAAATATTATGACATTAAGGTTGTTCTAGAAATTTTATGATCAGCAATAACCATTTGAAACATTGCTCTGCAGCATTTTGCCACTTTATGCTCAACTAACACAGATATAGAAATATGCTGCAAAATTGAGAAATGCACTAAATTTCCTGTGATCAGGAAAGCAGACCTCAATGAAATATATACACCTCTAACTTTGACATCATTCAGAAGATTGGAGCTCAGAGTTTACAACAATATAGAACAGTTGTAATACAAAAACAGACGAAAGAGAATCACAATATCATATCTAGCAAATATTAAATAAAACTCACATGGGCACAAAAAAGAATGATATATTGATTCAAGGCATGAGTCCCTCGAATCCACAAGGGAACACATAAACTGGGTTGCGATCTGAGATTTTTCTTCCCTCCCCATTAAATTACTATTGTTTTAACATTGAAATTGCTTTGTGTTACAGAACATACATATGCATTGCTTATTCAGGAAACAGATCATCTATACAATACCTTCCAACAAAATGATACTTATATTACTTTATCAAAATGTGCCTGGCCACTAAACTACTACAGCACAATCAACAAAATCTTTGAAAAGGCTAACACTACCATACATCAACAACATCTCAGAAACCACCAGCAACAATTGCAACCACATGGCATTACACAGCACCACAGCAAGTGAACCAACTCTCTGAAACATCCTAAGTAAATCAAAAGGCCCAGCAGCCCCAGAAGAAGAGATAATCAAAAAGCCAAAAAGGAAACAAGGTTCTAACCACTTCCTCAAAACCCAGATGAGCAGAGATTAACACCAAGATTAACACTAGACCAACAGTCAAGAAATAAACAACACAGGTCTACTCAACCTACAACCATTCATTTAGTGACCATTGAAGTTCAACAGCACTGAAAAAGTGACTTACTACAGTTTTTTTTTTCCACATATATGACTCTTGCAGCATCCTCATGGTTACATGATCAAAATTTGAACACTTGGCACCTGGTATGTATTTATGACAGTTGCATGTCCTGAGGTTATGTGATCAACTTTTGATAATTTCTGACGAGCAAAGTCAATGGGGAAAGCCAGTTTCACTTAACAAGCATGTTACTAACTTAACAACTGCAGTCATTCACTTAACAACTGTGCCAAGAAAGGCTGTAAAACGGAGCAAAATTCACTTAACAACTGAATAACTTCCATCTTGCTCTCAGCTATGAGAGACACTTTAAAAAGGACATTAAGCCAGCTGCATTCACTTTCTCCATTTAGAAATCATTTTTGGAAAGATTTATTTGACCATAGCATGGATATTACAGATTTTCAAAACACCAGGTGAATTTTACCTTCTTTCTTCAATGCAAAACTTTTAAATAGAAACCTAAGAGTTGGCAAAATGCAGGAAAAGGAGATTTTGATCTTAAAAAGTTGTATATGGACTAAGAGGCCAGAAGAATTTGGAAGAGTTGTATTTTTGAGGTAAGATTTGGGGGGGAAAGTAATTAAATAATACACAATGGGAAGTCACAGAAATGGGAATCTGTATTAGGAATTGAAATTCTTTGAATGTTACAAATGGACAATTGAGGGGATTTGAGTAACTTTAAAAAATAACAAAGGCAGGATACAAATAAATAATAATAAAAATAAATAAGGAATTAGGCAGTCTCCATTTATGACTTGGGTTTAGCATTCTTTTAAAAGAATACCTGAACTGTTACTTTTAAATAATTCATTTTACTATGGGTTTTAAATACAGGCTAAAAACACACAGTCCAATGAGAGACACTACCTCGATGCTACATACATACAATACATAGACAGTAGATTTAAACTGAGAAAGAAAGATAATTTTAATTATTTTGGGTGCCAGTTTGGTTTTCCTGATTTTTATTATCAGTGAGTTCATTACAGGTTGCATCACTTTCTGCAGTGGGTCTAGCACTTTTTTTTTTTTTTTTTAAGTACCAAATCTTGTCTGCAAATTGCCCAACAAGCTAAAGATCAGAGAAGGGATTAAACAGAAGGAAGCCTCATGACAATGATTTCCGCCCCTCCATATTGTCTTTTTTAAAGTCAGGATGCTGATGATTAAACTTGCAGTTTAATTTGTGGTAAGTTTCTGCATGCCTACACTTGCCCAGCCCCATTCTGTCTCCCATTAAAAAGAGTGATTGGTGGTTGCTCTCCACACTGGAAGGTAATGCTCAATCAGAAAATGAAGCCAGGAATCAACTCATTAGTTTCTTTGAATTACTTTTATATTGTAAGGATAATGACTTATAAGTAGTCTTGTTGCTGAGACCGAATAAGGCTCAGCCATGGAGGCTCATCATATATTTTTTTCTGCTGGTCCAAGGGCTGGCAATTCTGTATGATGCTTTTTGAGGAATAGAAATTGGGTCATTTATAGGTATAGTTTCTTTTTCTCTTTAAATTAAGCCATCCCAATTTCAATCTGAAAAATACAGGATTACAAATTGGGAGCTTTTGTTTGCTTAATGGACAAATCCCATTGTTCTAGAAGGAAAGAAAATCTCATTTACTTAATGAACTGTATAGTTGTTCAACCACTTGAGGAAGACATTTGTCACAATATGTAACATTATTGCACAGTAGAGAATACTCTTCACAGACAGCTGCTTCTTAGTGTTTATTTTTAGGTAGTAAACATGTAGTATGTTGTAGCATAAAGAAATATGTCTACTATAGACATTCTCATTTATCCTCTATGAAGCTTGATCTGTATAGGCTTCAAAATATTCTTACAATGTTCCCCTTCAGTTGGAAAGAACACTGAAGGAATAATGAACACACTCCATTAGCCCACCTTACTACTTCAGGTTCAGTTGTTACAATAGGAAAATAATCTCAGTTGTTCAGAAAACATTAACAAATTACAGTCCTTTGCTGATCCCACTACCAGGAAAAGAATGAACTTGGAGACTTTGATGTGTAGGAATGGGCTGAAATTAGATGACATAGGATTGTTTAGAACCTTTAATTATCTGATTTATAGCTGAGTCCTTAGATCTGTGATGGCGAACCTATGGCATGCATGCCAGAAGTGGCATGCAAGAGGTCGTCTGGAAGAGCCCCACTGTGCATGTGCACATGCTGCCCACCTGACAGCTGATTGTTGGGTATCTGGCGTGGATGTGGGGGGCCGTGGAGGGCGTGGGACACATGCGTGCATGCGCAGAGACGCATGGTGCATGTGGGGGGTCTCACATGCATGCACAGAGATGCATGGCATGCAGGGAAATTGCACTTGCATGTGCGAAATGTGCAGTGTGCATGGGGGTGCACAATTTTTGGCACGGGAGACAAAAAAGGTTAGCCACCACTGCCTTAGATTATCCACTTTTAGGTATGATCTTATTTAGCCTGTAAACCAAAGCAACTTCAGTTAAGTTATGTCATCTGTTTACAGACTCATCATAAGTAGAGACTGTACGTAGGAGTGAAAATAGACACCTTAAACTTTGCAGAAGATTAATGCACATATTTCAGCGTCTTCTTTTTTTTTTTTTCATATGCTACTGAAAAATTGCAATTTTCTTTCAAATTGTAAATACGTAGGTATAGATATACTTGGGAGTAAATACCTTTTTTATAAACAGAAGCCTGTGCTTTTAAAACAAATACAAAAAGGTTTTAATACTTAAATACTTTCTAAGTTTGTGGAGTTCTTACCTTGCCTTCAAGATATAGGCTGGGCCAAGAAAACAAAACAATTTGATTGAGTTCTTGCAATAAGGTTTCCTTTTGGTGATAATAAGAATTATATCTGATTCTAAGGCCACTGTGCATGTTTTGGAAACCCTGAAGTTGTAAGATGTATACCATAATATATTAAATCACTCTATTAATTACCCCATCTGCAAGTATGACAGTTATTTGTTCCCACCAAGGAAAATACTACAGTATCATATTAAGAAAATTATTAAAAAATAATGATTCTTATATTGTTTCTTAATAACTGTTTAGAAAGCTGTGTGAACTTGAATTCTAAATATCTTTTTCTCAGCTGGCAAATTAGGTTGCCTACATCACTGATCACAGATATAATTACAAGATTTTTGTCGAGACTCTGTAATGTTCACTAAATGTAGACAGACACCACAAAAAAATAAAGAGTTTATGTAGGAAGAATGACTATTGTTGTCTCAATGAATATAATGAATTTGTCTTTGTTATTAATGTGGGCAAAGTTGACTATTCATACCATCACAAGTTGGAAGTGGATGGCTCCACCAGTGGTTCTTTTCACAAAGCAGAGGCTCCTCATGATTTAGTCTATAGCCTGGGTCGCACCCAAATGACACAGTTGATCCAATGGAAAAATCATGCCCATAACGATGACCATGTACAGGTATACCAGGGTCCAAACAAGAGTAGGTATTAACCATTACACCTGAAGTTTAGGGAAAAAAGAAATACCCAATAAATTACAACATGACAGCATGACGTGACATGACGTGACAGTATTCCAATATCTAAGGGGCTGCCACAAAGAAGAGAAGGTCAATCTATTCTCAAAAGCACTTGAAGGCAGGACAAGAAGCAATGGATGGAAACTAATCAAGGAGAGAAGCAACTTAGAACTAAGGAGAAATTTCCTGAGAGTTAGAACAATTAATCAGTGGAACAACTTTCCTCCAGAAGTTGTGGGTTCCCCAACACTGGAATTTTTAAGACGAGATTGGACAATAATTTGTCTGAAATGGCGTAGGGTTTTCCGATTAACAGGGGGTTTGACTAGAAGACCTCCAAGGTCTCTTCCAACTCTGTTATTTTGCTATTCTATTAAATGATACATTTAACTACATAGAGATAGTTTTCAACTTATGAACACAATTAGGACCAGAATTTTTGTTGCTAAGCAAGGCAATTGTTAAGCACCCAATTTTATGGACCTTTTTGCTATGGTTATTAAGTTAATCATATGATCATTAAGAGACTCCCAAGTCCCACATTGACCTTGCTTGAAGGAAGCTGACTGGGAAGGCCACAAATGGCAATTACATGAACCTAGGATGTTTCAATTTTCGTACATGCCAGTTGCTAAGCACCTGAATTTTGATCACATGATTGTAAGGATGCTGTGATGGTAGTAAGTGGTAGCTCAGTTCAGAAGTTACTTTTTCCATCATTGTTGTAACTTACAATGAATAATTGTAAGTCAAGGATTACCAATATATAATACATTTTCAGGAAGATTTTAAAAGGAAGGAATGCATAACAAATAGGAGACATGACTATCAAAGTGTTAGTCTATTCTATGGACTTTGGAAGCCACCAAGAACTAACCTAGAACTTTATAATAATGCCAGCAGTATATCAATATTTTTTTAAGTTAAGAGAAAAAAAAACAGTTTTGACAGTGTGGCAGTATTACCCTCATCTCTCTGAAGTACAGATATTCATAATAATTTTCAACCTTTCCATTCTTTCAGTTCCATGCTTTGAAAGCTTTCATTATTTGGTACTTCCACTGGTCATCAGTGGAGAGAACTGAGGGTTTATTCCCCTACAATCTTGACTGCTATGTTTGAAAAGACAATCAATGTTTTGACCCACCATTCCACTCTAGTAAACTTTTTCCAGGTCTCTTTTTACTTATAGGTTGTAGTTTGTGCATTTACTCTTCTCCATCTCACCTAAACATTGCAGATTCAATCCATTTCTATAACTCAAATATCTGAACTAGCAATGCCTGTGGGAAATGCTGGTAATTTGGATACTGCAGCTGGAGACCTATATCATTACTTGGCTAATATACAGCAAACCAGGAGCTGATCATCCACCTTAGCGGTTACAGGAGTCAGGTTGGCTATGCACAGGGCAAGAAACAATCTTTCATATTTATGATTAGAAAATATATTGGTAATAGGGTCCAAATCTAATTGGTTTGTGTAGGTCTCATAAGCACAGCCTGTGAGCACTGAGGAAAAGGTGGTAGCTAAGATTATGAAAGACATTTGTACCAGTATTCATTTTATATAGCCAGGGAACAATAATACACATTATGTTTGCCGAAGAATATGAAGAAAAAAATTACTTACTTTCATAGTGGATTTTGAATCCATTATTAGATCGACTATTATCTGTTGTAAACAAGAGATAAATGAAATTGCTGCTACTGAATAAAAATTGAGGGACTTGTGTACCATTGTAAGATCCAAGAAGTGGTGACAAAAGATTTGGTCCATCATGTACTTCAAGAACATCGTAATTGAGTTCTGTCTGGAATCTAAGTTGGAGAAACACACAGAGACATAAAATATAATCAAAGACTGCATGCTCAGAAAATTGTTATACTTACTGTTTGAAAAAAAATGTCCTTCAAAATCATATTCCAAATACATTTTTAAAATACTAATGATGAGCAGTGTATTCCTTTATTTTATCATGTTCTAAAACCATGGCAGATATTACTATAGCATGTCTCAGAAGTCCATATGATTCTGAACATCTTTAAACACATGACTTTTGCCTCTCAACTGTATAATACATCCATTTCCGTTCTATGGTGATAGTGCTCAGTTGCTATATTTACACCCTTTATGTTGTTTTACAAATGAACTGTATAATGAAGGAAGTCATGTGGTGAAACTCGCAAGGGTTCTCCCAATCTAGGAGTTAAGCTTGGAGGAAAAATCCTAGGTGTAGGGGAAATATTGTCAACTGAAATAACTTTTGTGAATTATATTTATAGATCATCCTTTTTCAGGTATTTGTTTGAGGACATCATTTTAATAAATATTTTTCATGTGATTTACTTCAGTTTGGATTTTTTTTTTCAGAATTGAATGTGACCTTGAAAGAATTTAGCTAAAGTTTAAGGATGGTGTCCCAACACTGCTTTCTCAAGAGGCAACTGGATTTTCTTGTATTTCTTTGAAAATGTTTCACTTTTTATCCAAGAAGCTTCTTCAGCTCTGACTGAATGGTGGGGAATGAAAGGATTTATATTCCTTGCAGATGGCTGGTCATTTGCAATAATTTAGAGAGTTTTTGAAGCCACTTATCTCTTTTATCAAGGTCACCTCTTGCCTCTTGGAAAGCACTGTTGGGACAACCATGACCTGGATGACTGAGTACCTCCATTGACATATAAGGTTTTGTTTTGAGACTGCTCAGCTAACTTTAGACTAATTCTTAAAGTTTTCTTAGCAAGATTTTGAAAGTAGTTTGCCCTTGCTTGCTTCCTAGAGTGACTGGCCCATGGTCACCCAGCTGTCTTTATGCCTGAGGCAGAATTAGAATTGATCAATCAATTTCTAGTTTGTTACTTTAACCATTACAACAAACTGGCTCTCTAAGATATGACTAGGGGTAAACTATTTTTAGGAAGACTTGTTAAGCTACTGAAATACATTTCGATATTTGGGTGCTGAATCATTAAGGTTCTATGTTCTCTGAAAAAATCAGCATGGCTGCCTCAAATTCCTGGTAATCCCTGAGCTTCTTGCATGTGCCTACAGTAAACAATGTCTTCTAGGATTGTTGTTGAAATAAACACAATGTACTGCCTCAACACCAAGGATATCTATAAGGTGTGATGAGGGTCAAGAAAAGCAAGATGACAGCCACAAGGAAGCCACAATCAAAGCTTCACCCCCTTTTAATCGCATGGTCAGGGCTGCTATCTTGATATTCCCCCTGATTTAGTAGCATATTCAGAATCACATTTCAGGCCCTTTGCAGTTTATGCCTCAGGGATACCCACATTTTTTGCTAGTCCAAGCAAGCATAATCAAGTAATAATTAGCCACAACTTTACCCATAAGAATCATAACATTCTAATTAAATATAATTAAATTATATGAATTATATATCTGTTGTATCTTTACATTTCCATTTTATCATGATTTAATCTCAGTGAATCACAAGAAATACTATAACATTAATTATTTTGCAAAGCCAAATATCTACAAACCTATGTATAAATATCTAAGTCTGGACAGTTATTACACTGGATTCAGTCAGAATTTGAATCAACTAACTGAACATAATGCTTATCTAACTCTCATTGTTGCATTTACCACTGTTTGTCTTTTAAAGCTTTGTTTAAATTATCTAAGCCTCTTTGACTAATTGAAATGTTATTGGTTTCTGTATCTCCACATAGGTTTGTCCAAATCAAACCATTTCTTTTACCTCATAATCAAATATTTATTGAATAAGCCATAATGCATAATTTTAAAACTAAAAATCCTATGAAATAAATATTAGTTGAAATTACTGAAACAAAATAATATCCAAATAGATAGCATCAATTTACTAAGACAGGATGTTTTGATCTAAGCCATAACACAGTCTCACTGAACATTTATCACTATCGATTTATTCTACATTCTGTGCAAAGATTTTAATATATTTATTTCTTTAAAAAAAATAAATGGTTGCTCATCTACCTGAAGGAATTCTGGGTGGGAAACAAGATTTTTTTTAAAAAAATATTTTAAAACAATAAACCTAAAATAAAAAAAAACATATTGTGGTGTGGATAAAACTTGTATCCATTAATCAACCATACCATCCTAGTTTCATGAACAGGTCTTCACTGCTTTCCTGAAGGCCAACTGAATTGAGACCATCCATTTTATGGGGGATGCCTATGGAATAAGGCAGACACCATGACAAAGAAGATACACTTCTGTGGCCTCAGCAGGTGCACAGTTTGCCAAGAGTATGCTCACTCTGCCAAGCCTAGTAGGATGGGCAAAATGCATCAGTTCTCTGTAGGTCTTTAAACCTGATGAATTGAACGCAAAAGCCTATTGGGAATCACCACACAGTAGCCATGTTCCATAGGTGTAATGTTACTGTCTATACTGCTGCACTCTGGAACAGCACAGCTTCTGCATACTCTTCAGGCATATCTCCATGTGGAGTGCATTGCAATGCTCTAATTGGGACCTGGGAGCTCAGTGACTGATGAGGTTAGAACACTGGCTGATGATTAGCAGCCTCATGTTCAAATCCTGTTACTGCCATAGGGCAGGGTGAGCTCCTCTCACATACTTCAGCTCCCACCAACCCAGCAGTTTGAAAACAGGTAGATAAATGGGTACCATTTCGGTGAGCAACTTCACAAGGATAAGAAAGGTATCCCCAACTGGACACCCCCAGGCAATGGTTATGTCACCAGCAAATCCTTTCACCACAGAAGCACTTTGGTGCTTCTGACATGGAAGCATTAGTTTTGGGAACTGACCAAATCATGAGTGACTATGAGCAGCATATCCCAATCTAAGAATGAGCACGACTTGCAGACAAGATGTCTCTATGGAAAGGCTGTTCTAACCACAGTTGCCACCTGCTCTTCGAGAAGAGCTGTCAGCCCAAAAAAACCTCAAGATTGCAGACCAAACCTAACTTAGCTTTTTCCTAAATCACTCAAAGATTATATTGTGAATTTCAAGTACCTTCCAAACTATCTTTAAAAAAAAACACCATAGGTTTATATTGAATTATTACAATATTTTTTTCAATGCAGCTGGTCTTTAATGTGCAATCTGTCCTCTCGAACTTTGTTTACTGAAGCTGAAACTGAATGTCTTGTTTTTACAGAGAATACTTGATGAATTATTAAATTGGGCACGACTGAACAGCAATTTTCTCCTCTCCCCCACACCCACTAAGAAACAAACACCAAAACTAAGAAACAAACACCAAAACTGGAGGGGAAAAACCATTACTAATACTAACTGTTCTGCAAAGACAAGTATTTTCACTATATTGCCTAAGGCAAAATTATGTTTGAAAGAGTAATGCATGTATCTGATTCAGCAAATGATTTCTTGAACATTGATTCAATATATTGTCAAATGCCTAATGCCTCTTCACTAAATGAGATTTCATGATGAAAATCAAGTGTACTTTAGTTATAAAGAAGCATAAACCCAGGTTTAATATTTTTCTTAGATGTAACAACAAAGAAAAAACCCTCAGTATCTAAGCAACTAAGAAAATCCAAAGAACATTAAGCTTACCTGTAATCAGATTTGAAATATACAGTACAATATTATTCTGGGAAATGAATTAATGGTTTCAAGAGCAAGATCCAAGATCATTAGTCTAATGCAGTACTTAACAACATGCTGATTAACTACTTGCATTTAAACTGTAATAATTATGTTTCAATTGTCATGCTAAGATAAAAGTACTAATTTATATTCCCTTTCTAGTTGTTTCCCCTTTTTGTGATAATACATTAACCTGTAACATTTAACAGATCATATCATCACTTTTCCAACTGAAGTAAAAAGGGAAACACGTTCTCTAAAGCTATGGAGTCTTATTCAGGATCAATTGCATGAATTTTCAATTTGAAAGATAGCTTTACAAATGGATGTCAGACCTTCTACAAGCAAATTAATATATCAAATTAGTTTTTATTCACTATGTTTTTTTTTTAATTTGGCTAACCTGGATAATTCAGCCAAATATCTAAGGTGTAAACAAAATAATGAAACAGTCATCTAAGCTAAATTTCAAGAAAGAATGGTGCTGTTTGAGAATTATATCAGCAGGAGAAAATTTGTAGGGTTAACTAATTTATCTTCTCAATTCAGAGAAAGAAAGAAAATATGATGAAGTCAGAACTACCTTTAAACTTTTAAATTATTGCTTATTCATCCTGTATGAATCACTCCATTGTCACATAGGTATCTGAGAACAAACACTGAGGCTACGGAAAGAATAAAAACAAATGTGTGTTGCATTTTGTATACTACTGATATCATTTAAATATACATAATATATCAAATGATATTATTTGGAGGAGGAAACAGATAGTTAAAAAAAATATTCTTTTCCATCAAACTTTGAACTCTGATTATTAGGAGTCACCACAGTTTAGGTGGTTTATTTTTGTTATATTTCCCTTGTAATGTGGTGAGAGTCTTTGAACTATGACAGGCTATAAAATCTATAAAATAAACTAAATTTTCATGTTATTTTGGCAAATTACAATTTCAATGAATTTATTTATTATGGAAAAGCCCCTTGAGAAAATTTCATTTGCAAATGTTGGAGTAAAATATTTCCTTCTTAGACTTCTCAGACTTTAGTATTTAGTATTAAGGTTTTTTTTACATGTTTAAAGGAAATATATCTATTATAAACCAACATTCCCTTCTACAAGAGAAAAGAAGAGCAGGGTGAGGCAATCTGTAATTCCTACAAGGGCCCTCCAATGCTTTTTCTTTCTTTCTTTTTTTAAATATAAGAATAGGAATGTGTTTGGGGAAGCTTCATGTCCTCGCCTCCACAAGAGCAAAAACAGATGTTTGGTTTGTGATAGTTGTGGTGACTAGCTTCCAAACATTAGAGGAGCAAAGTTACAACTCAAACCATTGCCTATGTATTAGGTAGAGAACCATAGGCTTAGAAAAAGTGAAGTTGATAGAAAAAGAAAGGAAAAATAGTGATTAAAATATAGATATTTTAGAAGATTTAGAATATTTATATTTTCTTCTTTTAGTATTTCTGTTCTTTCCCTTTTTTTACATCTTTTTTGAGATACATCTTTCAGAATTAGGAAGAAGAGTTTTGAAGATGACTGAGAAAAGCAACAGCAGCAGCAACTACAACAAAGCAATAATAATTCAAAAACAACTGGAACACCATTTGAACACCATTACCATTGACAAAATCACTACCAGTCATTTGCAAATGGCAGCTTTACTTGGAAAAGTTTACATACATCCTGCAACAATACCTTTAACACCATCAAACAGCAACACTTGTCTACCCTAGGTCCTTGACAAATCCTGTCTAAATATTAGTCAGTCTATACATACACACACACAAAATTATTAAAAATAATTACTACTGTTATGACCTGTTCAAAAATGATACATTTAATATAACCCACAATTTTATAGATTATATCGTATATCATACTAGGTCTTTTTAATCTAGATGACTAGATTTTTTTTTCAAACATAGGAAGAGTCATAGTGTATTGTATTTATCTTTTAATGACCCACAAGATACTTATGATAATCTCACAAAAAGTAGATAATCACAATGGTATTTTATTTATATCTTACTGTAAATACCATTGAAATACACAATGTTTTTATTAATGGATGGAATATAAAGCAATTATGACTAATTAGTAACTATCAGGATATTACAGGGTATCAAAGGAAGGCTGTGTCCTGGATCTACACACCCAAGTCATTATTTATTTATTTTTATTTTGGAAATGTATTCACTCATCAAATTTAGAGACCACCGATCATAGTCTCAGAGGGCAGCACACACTTAAAAATGTAAAAACTGTGTAAAAATATTATATTTCAATAAAAGGAAGCTAGTTCCATTGGGAGATCTAGTTTGTAGTTAATATGATGCCTTAGACAAGCAAAACAGTACATAAAAAGTTAAAAAAAATTAAAACTAAATACAAGTATTGAAGAAAGAGACAATTTTCTAAACACATATATATGTATCCCTGTCCTGACATTACAAAACCTCTGTAGAAGCCTTTACTATAATCTAATACCCTGTGTAGAAATACATCCTAATTGTGGCACTATCAGTAAAATATGTTACAGAATAGTGGGGATTTCACACAGAATTTTCAGAACCTGTATGTTCCATCACTTTGAGCTAACAAAACAGAAGCAACCTCTCCATCTCCATCAAACCTTTAAGTCATGAAATTAGAATAAATATCCTCTGTCACTGAATCCACTGGATAACAGTGATATACATTCAATGACCCAGACACCTTTACCAGTGTTTACTGAAGTACAAATAAAATAAAACATGATTAATAAAAATTGGCTTCTGTTCCAAAATCAATAATAATAAAAGCTTTTAATTAACTCCAGTTTCAACAGACAAGATGTTTTTTACCAGAGCATCTTTTAAAAAAATCTAATAGACATTCTTAAGCATTGCATTCTTAGCAGAAAATTCTCTTAAATTTATGTAACCATGTCAATCTGCATCACTGTGTAATGATATAATTGCAGACTATTTGTATAATGAGGTCACAAATCATGAAAAATCACTGTAAACATCCTGATTTGTCTCAACTGTAAGGATGTCATGATAAAAAGAACATACATCAGTGCAAAAGACTTTTGGATTTAATGGACATTCAGAAGCAATGGACACCTCCCTCCTACCCTGCTGGTCCATTAAATCAAGGTTTTTTTTCTGCTGTAATCTCCTGGCCATCAGTTAAAAGTAAAAAAAAAACAGAAGGAGGAAAAAAGAAAGCTTTTGTCAAGACCTTTCAAATGTAATTTTGATAGAGTGTCCTGGTTCTGCTTCAATCACCCACTCACAATTCAAGGAGTCTTTATAATAGCCAGGCCAGCCTGGAGAAAGGATGACTCCACTGGGGGCTGCAAAATGTCCACCACATGGAGCTATAAAGAAGAAAACAACAAGTTGTTATTGTCAGCCTAGAACAGTCATCATGTTCAGATTTCTGAAATAAAAGGAAATCACATGACTGGAAAGGAAGGCTGGAAAGAAGGAACTAGTTTATCTTCAGAACTTGAGTTACAGTGAAGTATAAATCAAAGAAAGTCAGCAATAAACTATTGCAGCCATAAACTGGCATTGCAATCCTATATAACAAAATAACGAGTCTCTAGTTCAGATTTTACTACTCTCATCTTTTTTTTTGGTGAGATGTCACCTTTTGTGACAAAAGGTGCCAGGTTTTGACCTTCCTCGCCAGCATTGGTCAACTCTGAACAGGATCCGTATGCAACATCGTGTCTGCCAGGACTCGTTGTTTAAGTGGACTCTTGTCTTTACCCCTCAGTGTGACTGTGATGCTCCTTGACAAAATATCCATTCCATTGTGTCCAAATGTCCATCAAGAGCTTACACGGCCCCCTTACACGGGTCTGATTTTTTTTCAATGTAGACCACCCTGTCCTTGAATGGTTGGGGGGACTGGACATTAACATTTGAATCACTATAAATCCATGTACTGCCATACACTAAATAAATAAAAAAACCACCTCTATGAAGGCAGAAAGCCTTAGTGAAGGAGTACAACAAAATTATAAGAAACCCACTTCTTCATGCTGATCTTCCTCATCTATCAATTGGCAGGCTTAAATCCAGGAAGCCCCCTCTGGCACTTGCTCAACAGCTGTCTAACAGCTTTGACATTCACACCAATGGAAAGCCAAATGGGCTGTTGAAAGCCCAGATATAGGCAGTTATATAGTTGACCCTACACAAAAGGTGCCAGGGACCTTCCTCGCCAGCATTGGTCAACTCTGAACAGGATCATACCCAACATGGTGTCTGTCAGGACTCATTGTTTAAAAGTGGGATCTTGTCTCTACCTTTCAGTGTAACTCTGGTGCTCCTTGACAAAATATCCATCACATTGTGTCCGAATGTCCATTGAGAGCTTACACCGGCCCCATGTCTGATTTTTTTCAACATAGATCACCCTGTCCTTGAATATTTGGGGGGACTAGACATTAACATTCTCAATTATAAGTCTATGTATGTGCCATATGCTAAATAAATAAATAACCACTCTCATCAACTCACTAATTCAGTTGAAGGCACGGTAGAAATTTTATTCATTTAAAGCATGGCCCTACCACTCAAGGATGTGTGCAACATTTTTTTTTTAATTTTTTTTTTTTTTTGGTAGAGGTTTCTATGTGATTAAAAGGAAGGAGTTTTTAACTGATTAACTGAGAAACAGGAAGGAGAATGAAATATGGTCCTGTCCTACTGTCACTTCTGTAAGCTTCACATTTTTGTTGGTCTCTGCCTTTTCTCAATCCCTCCTTCCCATGATTGGTTTTTGTTTTGTTTTTGGAGGGGGAGGATTTTCAGTTTCACTTCTGAAGTATATTTTTTATACCCCATCAGAACAAACAAGCTAAACAAGCAATGTGCTTTTATAAATAAGTCATTAAATTACTATTCTACAGTATGGGGATATTGACACTGAGTCCTCTTGTATGGTTATTACAAAGACTATTCAAATTGTTACCTAAAAGCAATGGCACTCACAACCAGTGAGCCCGATGAAAGTTGTGTTGTGCTTTTGCGATTTCTATGTGGGTCATGATGTCACATTTAAAGTGATCCTGCTTTCATCAAGATGCCCATCCCTAAAAAAATGTTTTGCTCTTAAATATTATCTCAATTTGTCAAAGCGAAATATGCAAGTAAATTATTTTAAATGCTAAAATGTGCTTCATTTGTACAGTACATTTTATAGGCTCCAACCACTTCTAATTCATCTTCCTTCATAAAATTGACAGTTTTCACATATCCTGGGATTCATCATACCCTCACACCTGTCTGAAATGAAACTGAAAAGCATTCATACTTTACAGCAATGGGGCAAGACTTTATCATTCTATCTGAAGCCCTATTTAGTTTCATGAGGCCTGAACATGGATTCCCCTCCTCCTATCATTCCCACCCACACACAGCAAAAAACAGCTAATTTCTCTAAGGGAATGTGAGTGACTCAACAGCAAGTTCTTGTGAAAAAGTTGACAGATGAATGGATTCTGAAATGGCAATAGCTCCTTTATGTATTTACAATATTACATATTAGCATTTTGGGGGGGGAAATAGCAGAGAAATCAATTTGGCTAAAGTACAATATGGGCTTGCACTTGTTCTTATGGGGAAATATATTTCCATGAACCAATATCTGTAGAGGTTCTCAGTCATCCAGGTTGCCCCAAAGACGCTTTTCCAAAAGGCAACTGGACTTACTTTCTTTTTTCTTTGAAAACTGAAGAAGCTTATTGGATAAGAAGCAAAACATTTTCAAAGAAGGAAGGAAAGAAAGTCCAGTTGTCTTTTGGAAAAGCACCTTTGAGACATTTCCATGAACAGGCTGGGCAAGATAGTTTGTTGTCAGTATGCTTGAAAGATTATACAATTTAGATTTAAAAATGACCTGACATGATTATGGCTATGTGAACATATCTCTACATGTGAATGAATAAAAATGTAAGATCAAAATTGTCTGCTGCATTTTGTTCTTCACATTGATCAATGATAAGTCATAGTAGCAATTTCCTATTTAAAGTCCCCAAACTGACTTCAGTATTGAAGAGTATGAGAGTAATGTTTGAACAATATTGCATTGAGGAGTAGTTGGTGTCTCCTGAATTACTCCGATTCATGTAGATTGTTTTTACCTAATTTACAGTTGCAGCACTAATGTCACTTCCTAATTGTTTACAACTAAGCTTATAAATTTGATGGAAACATTTGCTTATTGCTACTCAGCCTGGCACAGGATGGATGACACAGATTCTATGTTATGGTAGAGTGACTTTACACACACACACACACACACACACACACACACTTTCTAAAATGTTCATTTCTATACTTTATACCTTCTGCTTATTTTCATTTCTTTTTTAAATGCTAAAATGCTGCAGTACGGAAACTGTTCCAGCCCTTTGGGCATTTGGATTACTCTTTTTTGCACCTTTTCTTTTAATATTGTTGTGAGATGTAATCAGAACTGTATACAATCTTCCAAGAGTGAATGAAACATGAATTCTCTATTATTATTCTTAACATAACATTTTCCCTTCTCCCTTGTGACTAAACATTTTCATTCAACAATCTAAGAATATCATAAAACCTTAAATATTTTTCCTCCTAATATTCATTATGATGATTTTTTGCTATTTTAATTATTGACAATTCAATTGGAAGAATGTTAATAGATTACTCTGATGTTCCATTGGCAAACACTGAAAAATATTGGTGCAATCTTTTTTTAAAAAAAATCATATTCTTTAACTACACATTCTTTAATGAGACATTTGTCAATTTTTTTTTAGATCCAGATAAGATTATTTTTTTATCCCCATTTGTTTACAAGATAAAACTTAACTTTTGCAGAAACTTTTTCTTTAGCAAGACATATATTTCCATATGCCCAATATTTTTTCTTTGTTACAAGACTTTTAACCAATTCATACAAAAAGAACTTTAAATATTAAAATGAAAATGATATATATTTTCCAATCCTCTGAAATAGAGGAATTTGTGGGACATGATAGATGATAGATAGATGATAGATGATAGATGGATGGATGGATAGATATACATAGATATAGATGTTAGATAGATAGATAGATATAGATGATAGATAGATAGATAGATAGATAGATAGATAGATAGATAGATAGATTTTAGAAAAGCAGCAGTTTCCATTTGAATGTTTTAAAACCTTTCAGTTAGATAAAATGAGACCTGTTGCTATATATACCCAAATAAGATAGGATATTATTTTACTTGCATTTAATTGATTAAACATGCTATGATTGTAATTCTGAATGTTGTCAATGTTTAACTGAAGTTTATCTGAAGTAGAAATAGCTTTTGCAAGAGTGAGCATTCCTGAAATCTGATCAAAACACAATTGTTCAAATATCATAATCTTAATCACATAAAATTACATTTACTGTTGTATTAAAAATAGTACTTAGTGTAGAAAAATAATTCCTAACATGATAATATGTTATTTGCTTATCAAATAAGAAATGGGGCTTCAGTAGAAATATATTTTGTATATTCCCAGGAAATGAATCTTAACTATAATGATTTCATGTAACTGAAAATATTCTACGGCTAATATGTTTAAAATGTTATAAATAATTATCTAAATCAGTCAGTTGCTATTATCCTTCAAAACAGTAACAAGCCAAAACAAAACGTTGTTGTTACATTAAATTGACCATGATAGGGTATAATACTAAATTAACTGAATGATTGAATACAACATTAATAGAGCACTGCTTTAATTTTAATGCTACATTTCTTTCATAAATAAACTAAGGAATATAAATGGTACCAGCTGATAAATATTTTTTTAAAATTGAAGAAGATAGTTTTATTCAGCTCAGTTATGTAACTGATAATGTTATTACCTGAAACTATGTAGGAAGTTATGGTATTTTGACATGGCTGTGTAAAAATATTTGAGGCTTTTTTTTATTATTGACCCTGTAATCCCTTACTCTGAGGTATAGTTGGAGCAGCTGAATGGAGCTGAGCATTTACTGGCCAGATGCCCTTCCTGACACCTACACAGAGCTCACAGCAAATATTTTGTCTTTGGGCTTAGAAAGAGAAATATTTGCCACTACCTAGGATTAAATTTACAGTCTCCTGATTGTGAGGCAAGAGCTCCACTTCCAGGCCACCATGTCAGTCAGTGTAAAGATATTTGAGTATTTTAGGAAAAATAGATTTATAGACCTAGATGTTTTATTTACGACAATGAGCAAGCCGTTTCACTTGAGAAATATGGAATCTGAACAAACATATGAAAAAAGACCAGCATGTATTTCGCTTCCTGTACGAAACATTTAATATATGCAATATTTAGTAACTTAGATTATCATCCAAGATAATCATATCAGATGATATTTGCAAATATCATCATCATCATGACAAAAAAGGATTGCTGTGAAATTTACCTATTAGATTACAGATTAAGAACCAATATGCAACATACATTAACTTTAACACAAAAACTATTAAAAAGTTACAAATACCTCCACACTTAGGGATAGGTCCACTCCACATGACTTTACCATCCATCAAAACACAAGTAATTGTTTCAGTTCCTTGAGTTTTAATAAAACCATCTTCACAAATCACAGAGATAGAACTTCCCAGTTGAAAATTATCTCCAAACCGACGTGCATTGATTGGTATACCAGGATCAGGACACTCATTATGTCCAAATGCTTTAAAAAATGAAGAAGATAAGGAAGGAATAGTACAAATATTTAAAATTATCGATTATATTTCAAAGTTCTTTGATCCCAGGTTTTATATATTGAATTTTTTTTTCTTGATCTCTCTATTAATCAATATTGATTCTAACATAGATGCACTATGCTCTATAATATACCAATTTCCCCCCAATTATATTTGTTGCATAAGTTCCGCACTAGTTGATGAATACTTTCAAACATTGTTTTGACAAGTGTTTCCTAATTTCCACATTTTGGCTTTGTTTCTCCTCCACTGAAGAACTGAACTACAAAATTCAAAGGAAAAAAAAAAAGGGGGGGGGGGGGAGAACCTGATTTTATATGTTTTAATTCAAGAAGTGCAAATTAGGTTAGTTGATTTTATAATTAAAATTACTTTCATTTTCTTTGTATGTGAGACTGACATTTCAGGTGATAGATGGATAGATAGATAGATAGATAGATAGATAGATAGATAGATAGATAGAT